AAACTGGTGGCCAAGGTAGAACAGGAAGGCACCAGACACCTGTGGCCAAGGCTTCTTTGTTGGGTGGGGGTGGGGGGATGGGGCGAAGGAAGCAGCTGGGCTCTGGACAGGAGCCTCTATCTCACAGAGGCTCCCCTAACCCTTGCTCTTTTTCTTTTCAAATCCAAACTTCAAAGAAGCCTTTGCACCCCCCTCCTAGGCACTTGGACCAGACCTCTGGCGGTGATGTGAGCCTCCAGAGCCCTCGGCCCCGCCCCCTAGGCTGGCAGCTTGCCCTGGGTGGAAGCTTGCGCCCAGCAACATCATTCAGCATCGAAGCCTCAGAAGACAGCCCCAGGAAGAGACGGAGGAGCCAGAGATACCGGAAGAGAATATGAGAGAAAAAGAAGGAGGGCAGAGGAGAGTGTGGGTGGAGGGGTCAGGACAATGGGACGGGCGACGCAGAGGAGAGAAATAAAGGGGAGAAAAAGATCTAAGAATAGGAAGGAAAATACATGAACAGGAGAAATGGGAGTAGGGTGGGGGGATAAAAGAATAAGAAAGAGGATGGAAGTGGGGAAACACAACGCGGCTAAAGCAAGTACAGAACAGAACCATATCAGAAAGAGGTAAATAGCAATTCAATAAAACCTGCTGCACCCCCAGACCAGGTGAGGGCTAGAGATGCGATCGAGCCCCGGCCAGGTCCCGGGCCTGGGCGCTCACGCTTCAGCAGGAAAGATGGGCGTTGACTCCTCATGGAGCAGAAGCGAGAGCCCACCCAGCACCTATTCTCAGTTGGGACCCGTTGGGGACCCAGCGAGGTGGCTGGAATGGACCTGGGGAGTCCTCATGTCACTGATGGATCACATTCCGGCCCCTCTCCTCCAGGTCAGCCCAGCCCCTTCCCTGGCTCCTCTGCCTCCACATTCCCCTTCTTGGACTGGACCCCTGGCCCCAAGAACAGGGCAGACCCTGCCAGGACTAGAAATCAAGCCTTCTCTTTAAAAGCCTGGACTGAGGGCACACTCTAGAAAAGAATGAGGTGCTGGCTGGGCCCGGATGTGGGTATCTGAGAGGAGGGAGAGCCCAAAGCACAAGGGACCCAGAGAAAGAGCTCAGGAGAGGGCAGGGTGGAGAAATAACCAGAGTGCCATGGGAGAGAAAGAGGAGGGAGGCAGGGGACAGACAGACAGACAGACAGCAGTGGGAGTGGGGGAGAGCAGGGAAAGAAAGACTGACAGGAGGGAAGATGGGGCATCTACTCACTCTCTTCCCCTCAGCGCTAAACTCCCCCTCCAAGCTCAAGCTCTCTGCACTCTAATCCCATTTCCTGGGCTCCCACTTGCTCCGTGTCTCCCTTCAGTGGCTTCCTCACCCATCACTCCACCAAAAATTATGGGGCACTAATCAGTCACCACCGTTCTGCCAAACCCAGGGAGCATTTTGCCCCTTACCATGCTCATTCTCTCTGCAGCATCTAATTCTCCCTCCTTCTAGAACAATCTTCCCTTGCATACATGACACGCACCTCCCTCTCCTTCTGGCCCTTCTATTCCCACTCTTGTCCTGTCTCCTGTGCAGAGGGGCTCCTCCTCCACTTCCCACCCCTTCAGCCTCCAAGGTTCCAGCCCTTCATCAGTCCTCCCTCCGTGCTGGGTCCAGAGACAACTCCTTCTACACCATTGTCCTGCGGGGGGGGGGGGGGCATGTTTGTCTTTCCTCTGAGCTCCAGACCCAGACACCCAAGGGTTGCCCCAACCTTTCTAACTGGATGTCTCATAGGCACATGTGGACAAACTTCATTCCTCTTCTTTCCCCTAAACCTGGAAAAGATGAAGAGACAGAGGGACATCTCCGAAGGCTGAGGGACTTGGGTTGAGGTTGAGGCTGGGAAAGATGAGAGCTGTGCCTGGAATTTAAGGAACTTAGTTGAGGACCCAAGGGCCTGGCCGGTGCGAGGCTGAGCAAAGGGAGGGAGAAAGGACCCCACACACTTGGGGTCTGCCCTCAGGGACCCTCAACAGAACCAGAGCAGGGCTCCGTGATGGGGACCCATGGAGACCAAGCTGTGAACCGCAGCCACACTCTCAGACCCCTCCCCTTCTCTCTCCTCAACCCTCTCCCAGGGTTGGAAGCAGGGTCGGGGGAGAGGAGCATTCTGGAAGGCCAAGACTGGGGAGGGAGGGCAGGAGAACTTCAGAGCAGCTGGAAAGGGCTGATCTCCCCTCACCCCCACTGGGTGCCCTACTTCTCCCTAGTCCCAAACCACAGAGTCCAGACTGGGGGCTTGGGGGGTGTCCCGAGGGAGGGGGGTGCTGGGGGTCACAGGCCTGCCCCATCTCTCATGGAGGGAGGGCACTTGGAGAAATTTGGAGAGGGAGAGAACTCAGAGCTCAGCATTTTCCTCTTCTGTTTTTCTTCTTGAGGAATTTTTTTCCCTAAGTGCTGATGACTTTACCATTGCTTGGGGGTGTGTGTGTGGGGGGGAGATTTTGGCTTTTGTTCCCCCCAAACTCCAAATGCCCCACGAAGTCTAACATTCCACAAGAAGCCAGAGCTTCAGAGTTTCCTCAAGATGAGGTGGCGTCTCCTCCCCTCTCCCAGCTCCCTCCCTCCTCCTTCGCCCCTCCTCCCTCCCCTTCTCCCCAACCAAGTCTCAAGCCCAAGGAGGCCCAGCCAGGCTGGGAGGAGACCCCAAGCACATTCTTCCTCTCACTGTCATGCTGCAGAAATTAAAGACACATCTTCGGGCTGGGCGCCCGCCAAGCGTTTCAAGTCGAAAGTGGCAGAGGAGGCTGGAGCCTCAGCTCTATGCCACGTGTAAAGAATGCTTGGAAAGCCTCCGCCCGCAACTCCTGGGACAGAGGGCTGAAACTGGATGATGGGGCCGTGGCTGTCACCCACACACAAGCACCCCCCCCAACCCCAGGGGTCCCTGAACATCCTTTAGAACCTCCTCCTTGTCATCTGAGAGGCTCAATCTCTTCTTTAAGACAGGCCTGGGATACCTGGACCAGGAGCACCGGGGGAGGGGACTGGAGGCTGGAGTCCTGTCCTGACTTCCAGAACTCAACCGGAGAGGTGGGCAGGTCACAGCAACCCTCATCCTTAGCCTGTGACACTCTGCCCCAGACAGCCACTGCAGAGGGACAGGATCCTTGTCCCCCTTGTCCCCCTCATCCTCCTTGTCCCTGACCCCCGGGACGTGAGTGGTGGGGACAGGAACTGCCATCTCAGCAACCCAGCGCTGTCCGGCCTGTAGTCGCTGGCACTAGGCGGGGGCAGATCTTGGGCCACAAGTTGCTGCCACATGGTGGGGATAATTGATGAAGGCCCGTCCCTCCATTGCTGTCTGCTCTCTGGAAACTCTATATTTTCCCTTTAATTATAGCCCGTGCTCTCTCCCTCCGCCGCCCCACCCGCACCGCTCATCCTGGCTGCCCACGGCCTACGTGGCTCCCTCCCCTTCTGTTCCCTTGGTCTTTTTTTTTCCTTTGCCTTCGTTGCACAAAACCAGCTGGGGGAGGGCGTGGAGAGGGGCGGGGGGAGGCAATGGAATTTTGGATGGTTTGGGGGAGGCGGGACTCCCCGCTTCCACGTTTGCAGCTCTGGAGTGATGGGGGTGGGGGAACCCAAGCAGGAGGGACTGGAATTGATGGACATGGCAAGGGGACCCCAACCGCCTTCTCTTGGGCCCACAGATTTCGGTAGGGCCAACAGTAGAGTGCTATTGGGAGATTTGGACCAGGGGAAGGGAGGACACTGGCTTCTGGGGGCATCCCCCCAAATATAGCCTGTTGTTCTTGGGGTCTCCATCCCCCTTCAGGGGTTTCCAGGGGCAGAGAGCAATGCCCTGGATTTTTAAGAAAGAGGTGGAGCAACAGGGAACATCTTCTAAAATCAGGTCACTGAACCTTCCCTGCAATTCCATCCCAAACCCCCAAAGGCAAACCTCCCCCTGACACCCAAATTCCCCCATATGCCCCAACCTTGAGTCCAGGTACAACCAGCTGCTCCCTGCAGCTCTCAGAAGGAGACTCTGCGGGATACGAGGGTCTCAGACAGACCCTGGCCACCGCCCGGGGCCTACCCTCACACAAGACCCTTTTCTAGGTCACTGGTGACTACAGTGGTCCTGTGCAACCTCACTAGCCTGGGGCGGGGGGTAGGGGGAAGAGTCCCAGCAGCTTCCCATCACCACTCTGCTGCCCTATCACTTACCCCCCAAGCTTCCTTCTGGAGAGATCACACAGTTACATTTCTCAAGCAGTGTCTCAACCTCCCTACCCCATCTCTCTCAGTCCCACCTTGGGTTTTGGGGAGAGCATCTGAGTCCATCTTGGATCCTCAAGCAAGGCAAAATTGATGTCCTCAAAATAAATCCCCTCTTGCCAACAACCCCCACCCAAGTATCTCATTCCTAATGTCTGCAAAGGAAACTCTAACTTCTTCTCGAAACATGTCTAAGCTCCCCGCCACACCAGAAGACACCCCTAAACAGGAACATCTTTTCAATTCTCTGGTTCTTCTCTGTTTTAGAGGAGAACCCAGCCCCTTCATACCCATCCCTTAGTTCTGGCCAAGGATGTCGGTAGGGTGAATGAGAGAGACATGGCCAAGACTACCCTCTCCAGACCACAGGAAGCGTCCCCTTCCAGCTCCCCAGGTCCAGTTCCTCCCGATGGGGGGAGCCCCAGGAAGAAAGCCCAAGGGGCCCACTACCCACTCTCTAGCCCACCCTATACTGGGGACCTAGCAGCACCTCAGCAGCAGCATCTCTGGCCCAGGCTGGGCTGGGGGGCTGGGGAGGCAGAGTTGCGAAGGGGGGAGATGTGCGGTGGACTCCCTTCCCTTCCCTCCTCCTCCCCCTCTCCCTTCCAACTCCCAAATTGGGGGCCGGGCCAGGCAGCTCTGATTGGCTGGGGGACGGGCCGCCGGCTCCCCCTCTCCCAGGGGCAGAGTTCCTCCCTGCTCTCCATCAGGATGGTATAAAAGGGGCCCGGGCCAGTCGTCGGAGCAGACGGGAGTTTCTCCTCGGGGTTGGAGCAGGAGGCACGCGGAGTGTGAGGCCACGCATGAGCGGACGCTAACCCCCACCCCAGCCGCAAAGAGTCTACATGTCTAGGGTCTAGACATGTTCAGCTTTGTGGACCTCCGGCTCCTGCTCCTCTTAGCGGCCACCGCCCTCCTGACTCACGGCCAAGAGGAGGGCCAAGAAGAAGACAGTAAGTCCCAAACTTTGGGGGAGTCCAAGGGTACTTGGTATCTTGCCCTGCGCTCGGTCCCGGCGGTCTGCGACTTAAACTGAGACTCGGGATGCTCCGGAGACTCGGATGGCAGGAAGATGGTGAGGGTTCTTCCTGCGCGCTGTGGGAGAGAAGGCAGTGCACCCTGGGTGGGGGCTGTAGATGAACGCCCGCGGGTGGTGAGAGCGGAGGATGGAGCGCCGCGGGAGTTGACACAGGAGGGAGTCCTGAGCGAGCACTGTGGAGTACCACTGGGGAAATGTGGGGTCTGGGCGCCGGGTAAGGGGAAAGTACGTCGAAGATGGGACGGGGGCGCTGTGCTGGGAGTTTGGAACCCAAGATGTGAAAGCGATCGGGAAGGCTGTGGGATGATTCATAAGGAAAGATTGTTTGCCCTCTCTGCAGGCTAGACAGTGTTCCTGGGGCCGCGGGGGTGCTGGGCTGAGGGGGGAGGGGGCGCGGAGAGTGGGCGGGTTGGAGGATGAGAAACTTTGGCGCGTACTCGGCAGGGCGGGGTCCTTGCGCCCTCTGCTGATCCACACTGAGCCCCGCGCCTCCCCGTCCAGCGCTTCCCCGCGCAGGAACTGTATTGAGCGGACGGGCGTTATTGCCGGTTGTGGACCCCACCTCTAGTCCTGGAAAATAAAGCTGGGGACTGGGTAGCCTCAGTCTCTAAAAGAAGTGGCCCGTCCCAGGAAATTGCTTAGTGTTGCCCGCCACCTAGTGGCGGTCTGAGTAGACGCTCGCGCGGTGGGCGTGGTTAGCTAATTTCTTTAACTGTTTGCGGACTTTTTGGTTCTTTGGCTAAGGCGTGACCCAGAGACCCTGGTTAGCTTTAGGAAAGAGGGGTTGTCCCAAGAGAGGGCTTTTGAGATGTCTGGGTGCTGGAGGTTAGGGTATATCCTACTTTGGGGGTACCATACAAGACCCTGGGCGGGACCTCAGGCCAATAGGCCCCGCCCCATCCCCCTAGCCCCGCCCAGGCTATCCCACCTGCCCTGGGATGGGGCGGAATGGGGGCTGGACCTCTCTTCTCTCCTCCTACCGGTCCCCCCCACCCGACCCCACCCCCCCCGTCTCCACCCATACCACGCCCCCGCTGGATGGGGCCCCTCCTAGTCTCTCTCCTCCCCACTCCCCCACCTCCCCACCCCCTCCCAATGGCTTTTTTATTTCACTTGGCTTCAGCGCCGACGGGCTGGGGTTGGAGTTGGAAGCAACTCCGGCCTAAAGCTTTGTTTAAATTCCTGAGAACTGGAAAGAGTTATAGCCGCCTTGGCCAGGCGCCTCGGCCCTGTCACTGGCCCTGATGAGGAGCAGATGAGCTTTTAAGGATTTAGGGAAAGGAGGGGGGACGGGGAGGAGGAGGCGGGAAATGGAAAATCTAAAAGTGTCCTTACGACCGACGGGAGAGGCTACGGGTAGCGCTGGGGTCCCTGGAGCCCCGAGGTGGGGGGCCTCGAGCGCCGCTGACAGCCTCTCCTTTCCCCTCTTGCCCCAGTCCCACCAGTCACCTGCGTACAGAACGGCCTCAGGTACTATGACCGAGACGTATGGAAACCCGAGGCCTGCCGGATCTGTGTCTGCGACAACGGCAACGTGTTGTGCGATGACGTGATCTGCGACGAAACCAAGAACTGTCCCGGCGCCCAAGTCCCCCCGGGCGAGTGTTGCCCCGTCTGCCCCGACGGCGAGGGTACGGCTCGGGGGCCTGGGGATGGGGGATGGCGGGGCCGCCGGGAGCACCCGGTGCAGACCCCACCGCTCACCTGCGTCTCTTCTCCCCTAGCGTCACCTACGGACCAAGAAACCGCAGGAGTCGAGGTAATCCTCTGCCCTCGACTTTTGCCACCAGCCCGAGGGTCCTCAAGCGCCTCCCGTCTCTAACCCGGCTTCTTTTGTTTCTTCTCTCCCCACCCCCACCCCCATAGGGACCCAAGGGAGACACTGGCCCCCGAGGTCCAAGGGTAAGTAAGCGTGGCCTTCGCTCGGCTGTAGGGGTTGCAAGTGGGTGTGGCTCCAGGCCGGCGCTCACCGCCGCCCCCCCCTCCCCTCCTGCTGCAGGGACCTGCCGGCCCCCCTGGCCGAGATGGCATCCCCGGACAGCCTGGACTTCCCGGACCCCCCGGACCTCCCGGACCCCCCGGACCCCCTGGCCTCGGAGGAGTAAGTGAAGACTCAAGACAGTCCGGGCAGGCCCTATGTGCTCCACTCACCTCCTGTTCTTTTTCTTTTCTTTTCTTTTCTTTTTTTTGTGGGTTTTTTGGCAGATGGCACACTTTATACTTTGAAATGATTTCAAACTTAGAGAAAAGTTTCAAGACTAATGCCAAGAATTCTCACATACACTTCACAGTTTGTCACATTTGCTTTATCAGTCTCTATGTATACATATAACTGTCGCTATTTTTCCTTCTGAACCATTTGTGCTTGAGTTGGCAGATGTCATGTCCTTTTGCTCCTAAATACTTTAGTGTGTCTTTCCTGAGAACAAGGACTTTCTCTTACGCGACCATTGCACAATGATTACATTCCAAAATTCTAACATTGGTACAGAACTATTATCTAACCTACGGCCCCTGTCCAAATTTCAACAACATCCCAATAATGCCCTTTATTGCAGCATTCCCCCTGATCCAGGATCATGAATTGCACTTAGCTGTCGCGTGTCTTCAGTTTCCTTTACTCTGGAACATTCCTCGGACTTTCTTTGTCTTGCACGACCTTGAAATTTTTTTAAGAAGCCAGTTGCTTGGTAGAGGCTAACTTTTTATGACTGTCCCTCAATTTGGGTTGGCCAGATGTATCCTCATAATTAGAGTGGGACTCTGCATTTAAAATAAAAGATTTTTATTTATTTATTTGACAGAGAGAGACACAGTGAGAGAGGGAACACAAGCAGGGGGAGTGGGAGAGGGAGAAGCAGGCTTCCCACTGAGCAGGGAGCCCAATGCGGAGCTCAAACCCAAGACCCTGGGATCATGACCTGAGTTGAAGGCAGAAGCTTAACGACTGAGCCACCCAGATGCCCCTGGGCCCTGCATTTTTGGCAGGACTGTCTCACAGGGGATGTTGTTGTCCTTCTTAGTGCATCACATCAGGAGGCACATGTCAATATTCCGTTCTCAGTGACATCTTCCACCTTCCAACTCACTGATTTCTCATACACTCTCTCTTGTTTTTTTTTTTTTCTAGAACTTTGCTCCCCAGATGTCTTATGGCTATGATGAGAAATCAACTGGAGGAATCTCCGTGCCTGGCCCCATGGTGAGCCACTGGGGGGGGCGCAGAGATGACAGAAGAGGAGTCCGTGGGGATCCAGAGGGGATGGGCCAGTGGTGGCTTATGGGGGTGGCATAGATAACTTAGGAAGTCAAGACGACCATTGAAACCTGAAGTCCAGAGAGGATGCAAGACAGCTGGGTTGTCCCAACAGGAACCACTGGGAGATGGCAAGACCACACCCACATTGCTCTTCCCTACGGAGATATCATTATGACCTCTCTCTCTATCTTTTTGTTTTTCCTTCTGTAGGGTCCTTCTGGTCCTCGTGGTCTCCCTGGCCCCCCTGGTGCACCTGTGAGTATCCAGGATGTCATCATGTGCCATCCTGGGCTTCAGTCTTTAGAAGGGAGGATTGGGATGAGGGTAGCAAAAGGTGCTCTGAGAGATCGATTAGTGATCTGGGGAAAGACTGGTAGGGACCTGTCCTTCTAACTGAATCCCTCTTTCCTTCTTCTCCAGGGTCCCCAAGGTTTCCAAGGCCCCCCTGGTGAGCCCGGCGAGCCTGGAGCCTCAGTAAGTGCCCCCCCAACTTGCTATACAACTATACAAACCCACATTCCCTCTACAAATACATGGATTCTCCCATTGAAGGACTCCTCCACCGCTGTCGTCTGGGCTCTTCCCTACTTCCTCCTTTCAATCCCTGCCTTCCCATTTTTTTTTTAAATTTCCCCCTTATCCTGGCTATTCTAATCACCTTTCTTCCTATTTCCTCTAGGGTCCCATGGGTCCCCGCGGTCCCCCTGGTCCCCCTGGCAAGAACGGAGATGATGTAAGTATTCCAGGCGAGAAGATCCCATGTAGTCCCCAACACGTCCATGGGTTAGGTCCCTGTAATCTCCACCCCAGTGCCGCACCTCCTTTGGGGGTGATGCTCAAAGAATGGAAGCCAAGTTCTCCCTGATGCATGGGACTGCCCTTGAAAAATGACCTTCAGCCCTTGTGGGATGTTTCCCCATCTTCCCAGTGGAGGACTGGCCCTCCCGACCCTCCAACCACCTTAAAAGCATTCCTCATCCGCATCCCTCGGGGTGAACAACTTCCTTAGGCTTAATTATCTTAGATTTGCCCTCCGTATATAGAAATAAACAGAAATACCTTTGGAGGGACTCAAAATTCACCAAACAAGGATTTTACAGTAGATATAAGCTGAGCTCCAAATTCAAAGATAAGATTCTAGGCTCCTCAACCTGACCTTCAACAATACCAAGAAAACTCAGACCTCCCACACTTTCCTGGCCCACGGGTGCATGGGCACGATGGTCTTTTCTCTCCCTTTCAGGGTGAAGCTGGAAAGCCTGGTCGTCCTGGTGAGCGTGGCCCTCCTGGACCTCAGGTGAGCTGGAATGTGTGGCTGGCCGTGGGCTTCTCTACAGGTGGGTTTCCCTTGGGAGCTGGGGCCTCAGTGTCATCTCCTAATGTCCCTACCTTTCTCCTCCTTTTCTCTTCTCTCCAGGGTGCTCGTGGATTGCCTGGAACAGCTGGCCTTCCTGGAATGAAGGGACACAGAGTAAGTCTCCTTTGAGCCACTGGGTGGCAGCTACAGAAATCCTAAGGGATAGGGAGTAGGATTCCGAAAGAACTCCCCTCCACTGGGAAAGAAATCTCAATGAAGAGATTGGGTGAGTTCTTGGCCCATTTGGGGTTTAGTCTAGCGCAGAGACAGAGCCCGTGGGGACCCCGTAAGGCACCTTCTCAGGTCAGAGTGGGGGCCAAGGTTCCCTTCCATCAGTACTCACCTTGGCCTTTCTTCCTATCTTAGGGTTTCAGTGGTTTAGATGGTGCCAAGGGAGATGCTGGTCCTGCTGGTCCCAAGGTAAGAAGATGCCCAAATGTCGTGGGTCTCCCCCTCCCCCCCACCCCCCACCAGCTCACACCATGTGAACGAATTCCTAACTTTATTCTCTGTTCTCTAGGGCGAGCCTGGTAGTCCTGGTGAAAATGGAGCTCCTGGTCAGATGGTGAGTGTGTCCAGTTCTAGAAGGAAGAGAGGGTGCAGGGTATACGGGCCAAGATGAGGTTTGGCGGGGGAAGGGTGTGTCTCCCAACTCATGTGGCTTTTCTGGCTTTTGTCGTCAGGGCCCCCGTGGTCTGCCTGGTGAGAGAGGTCGCCCTGGAGCCCCCGGTCCTGCTGTAAGTACTCATGGCCCCCTGGGGCACACCTGGGCCCTGGCAGGGGATTCCTGACCAGTTACAGGGACTGGCCTGTGCTCAGCGCCGGTAACTGGGGCTCCCCTCTCTCTGTCAGGGTGCTCGTGGAAACGATGGTGCTACTGGGGCTGCTGGACCCCCCGTGAGTGTGACCTCTGGACCTCGGTGCCTGGGAGTGGGGAGGGTTCTTGGTGTCAGCTCTTGGGGTGGGGGCGGCATGGGGCTCAGAATCCCAGGACCTCTGCTGTCCCCGGCTGTGACTTGCAGCTACCACCTTCCTTCTTGCTGACATTTCCATTTCATTCACAGGGTCCCACTGGCCCCGCTGGTCCTCCTGGCTTCCCTGGTGCTGTTGGTGCTAAGGTGAGCCCCCTGCCTTCTTCTGAGCGCGGGTCCCACAGGCCAAGGTGGGGGGTGTCTCCCCGCTCTCCAAACCAGAGGAACCAGAGAAGCCTATCCCCTTTGTCCTGGGATCCCCTTCTCTGATATGGGAGTCCTGATTCTTGATCTTCCTGTCCCTTCCCTACACACACACACACACACACACACACACACACACACACACACACATCCAAAGGGGAGCTGGGCTTCCAGGTTGGCTCCTGACCTGTCCTTTTTGTCCCATCCAGGGTGAAGCTGGTCCCCAAGGAGCCCGAGGCTCTGAGGGTCCCCAGGGTGTGCGTGGTGAGCCTGGCCCCCCTGGGCCTGCTGGTGCTGCTGGTCCTGCTGTGAGTGTTGCCTCCTCAGAGCCCTGGGGCCTCCCTCCAAGTTCCCAGTCTTGGCCTGTCCCTCACCCGCTTCTCTCTCTCTGTGCCACAGGGAAACCCTGGTGCTGACGGACAGCCTGGTGCTAAAGGTGCTAACGTAAGTGCCCCAGGGGTCTCAGAGCCACCCCCGTGGCCCCCCCTCCTGCAGACCCCCTGCCCTGTGCTCCTGGGCTCAACCTCTTCTGTCTCCCACAGGGCGCTCCTGGCATTGCTGGTGCTCCCGGCTTCCCCGGTGCCCGAGGCCCCTCTGGACCCCAGGGCCCCAGCGGTCCTCCTGGTCCCAAGGGTAACAGCGTAAGTATCCCTCTGCCAGTGAGTCCCGCCCCATGCGCTGGCTCCGGTGTGGCCCTCTCTGCGGGAACAGAAGGATCCGGGCCGGTTGTGGACCCCAGACTCTTGCCTCATCCTCTTCTCCTCCCTCGTGCAGGGTGAACCTGGTGCTCCCGGCAACAAAGGAGATACTGGCGCCAAGGGAGAGCCCGTAAGTGTCCCTGCACGTGGGCCTGTCTGCCCTGGGAAGCCCTGGAGGGAGACCCCGGGAAGGGATGGGAACCCAGGGGCGAGATGGCACCCGGTTTGCCCCTCACTGCTGGCCGCCCCCTGGTCTCTGCCCTCTCCAGGGACCCACTGGTATTCAAGGACCCCCTGGCCCCGCTGGGGAAGAAGGAAAGAGAGGAGCCCGAGGTGAACCTGGACCCACTGGCCTGCCTGGACCCCCTGGCGAGCGTGTAAGTGTCCCCCTCTTTGCCCCCAGCGCCAGCCTGGTGCCCCCATGTCAGAGCTCACTGGCTTCTTCTCCTCCTGCAGGGTGGACCTGGTAGCCGCGGTTTCCCCGGTGCAGATGGTGTTGCTGGTCCCAAGGTAATGTCCCTTCACGGCTGGGGTGCGCCCTGCTGCGCCATGGGCATTACCTTCCTCTCCCCCGTGTAGTCGCCTCCCACCTCCAGCCCTGGTCAATACTGCTCCGTGCGGCTGCAGGCTCTCCATGCCAGACTTCACCCTAACCTTCCCTCTGCCCCAGTGCCCCTCAGAGCAACCCCACCCTGCCCCCCCCACCCTGGGAGGAGTAAGACGCTGGGCCACGGTAAAGAAGCCCAGACCTAAGACCCTGATTGTCCCTATGACTCCCCCAACCAGGGTCCTGCTGGTGAACGTGGTTCCCCCGGCCCCGCTGGCCCCAAAGGTTCTCCTGGTGAAGCTGGTCGCCCTGGTGAAGCTGGTCTGCCCGGTGCCAAGGTGAGCCCTGACCCCTGTGTCGGACTTGTCCCAGGACCCTGCTGGACCCGTGTGGGGTCTGAAATGAGGTGCCCTGGAGCAGGACCACGGGTCTGCCTCCTGAGGTGCCCCCTCCCCTCCTCTGTCCCCCTTCTCCCCACCTGGCTCACACCTGTCTGCTGCCCCCTAGGGTCTGACTGGAAGTCCCGGCAGCCCCGGTCCCGACGGCAAAACCGGCCCCCCTGTGAGTATCGCTCCCCCCAGGGCCCCTTCCACCCTCCCAACCACCCACCCTCCGACTTCACTTCCGGTTCTGTGCCTTCTGTCCTTAGGGTCCTGCTGGTCAAGATGGTCGCCCCGGACCCCCAGGCCCCCCTGGTGCCCGTGGTCAGGCTGGCGTGATGGGCTTCCCTGGGCCTAAAGGTGCTGCTGTGAGTATTCATTGAGGAACGTTCCAGAGACAGGGACAGGCACTCCTGGAAGTCCTGGAGTCCTGGGCGCCAGTCCTAGCTTTGCCACTGACTTGCTGTGTGGCCTCAGGCCACTCACTGCCCCTCTCTGGGGCTCAGTCTCCCTATCCAAAAAATGAGACCTCTCTTAGCTCTACTCCCATTGCTCTCTGCTTGGGAAAAAGTCTGGTTGGAGCAGCCCCCGCCCCACACACACAGGGATAGAATGGGCCTTTTTAATGCTCTTCACCCCTACATCTATCTGGGTGGACTCTTTGAGGTTGTAAAGGAGGTACCAGAAGAGATGAAAGCCCTTTGCAGCTCGGGTCACCATAGGCATATGGTGGCAAGAAGGAAGGGAGAGGGTGGGGACAGCAGCCTGCAGGGACAGGTGGTCTGGGGAGAGAGGGTTCAGGAAGATACGAAGGAACCAGCAATAACATCCCACAAAGCGTTTCCCCAGGACCAGGGCTGGGAGAAAAGAAAACCCCTTAAAAAAGGTCCCTCAGGGTAAACCAAAAGGACCCAAGAGGCCTGGTTTCCCACCTAAGCCCTGCTGACTCTGACTCTGTTTCCCTGCAGGGAGAGCCCGGCAAGGCTGGAGAGCGAGGCGTGCCTGGTCCCCCTGGTGCTGTTGTAAGTAGCTCCCCATGCTCCCTGTCCCCTCACTGCCCCTGCTTGTGATACATCCCCTCCCTGCAGAAGAGGTACAGAAGGCCGCAGCCTCTCACCAGGCCAGCAGGGGTCCCCTGTGGGGGTCTGCTCTGTCCTTGTCCCCCCCCCACCGCCTCCTCCCCAACCCTGAGTCCTTTGTTCTCTCCCCACAGGGTCCTGCTGGCAAAGATGGAGAAGCCGGAGCTCAGGGAGCCCCTGGCCCTGCTGTAAGTGTCCCGGGCAGGCAGCCTGGGGAGGGGGTGCTGTGGACACACCCCACCCCCCTTTTCACTGGGCCCTTCCAGGGACCACAGCGTTCTTTCTGTGACAGGGCCCCGCTGGTGAGAGAGGTGAACAAGGTCCCGCTGGCTCCCCTGGATTCCAGGTGAGGCCTGCCTGGCAGGGAGTGAAGGTCTGGGGTCCCCTTTGTTCTTTTCCAGATTCTAATCCCACCCACCTCCTGCCCCGCTCATTTCCCATCTACAGGGTCTCCCTGGCCCCGCTGGTCCTCCTGGGGAAGCTGGCAAACCCGGCGAACAGGTGAGAGGTAGCGGGCGGCCAGAGAGGTGGGGAACACAGGGCGTTTAGAGGAAGAGACCAGCCCGCCTCCCTGCACAGATAACCAGCAGCTAGAGGGATCCAGGTTAGACTCCCTGCAGGACTTCCCGGAAGCAGGGCATGGAACACCTGCCCGATAAGATCTGGACGGGACTACATGGCTGCTGGTCCGGATGATTTTTTTTTTTTTTTGAGCTGTGGGGCTCACTCTGACTTTTCCCTCAGCCCAGAGTTTGGGGAGGGGGCTGTCTCTGACACCACCCAAGGAGGATGAGAGGGCTAAGCCCAGTTCAGTGCAAAGAAGGGGTTGGTCTCCAATGACAGACCCCAACGGCCGGCCCCCAGGACATCAAGAACGCTCTCCAGTGGGGAGGTCTGAGGTGGGGTTGGCTCACTCTCTGTCCTCCCTCCCCCTCAGGGTGTTCCTGGCGATCTTGGTGCCCCCGGCCCCTCTGGAGCACGAGTAAGTAGAGCTCCTGGCTGTTCCTGCCTGAATGCCTTGCTCTTGGCCCTGTCTCAGGAGCAGCCATCATGCGCCCCATCCTTCTCTTCCAGGGCGAGAGAGGTTTCCCCGGTGAACGTGGCGTGCAAGGACCCCCCGGCCCCGCAGGTCCCCGGGGAGCCAATGGTGCCCCTGGCAATGACGGTGCTAAGGTAAGGGCAACAGAGGGACCAGGTCCAGCCCCTTCTGAGGCAGGGGCAGGTGCCTGGTTGTGGCCAAAGCCCCCTAGATATGAGGGAGGGGTGGCAGGGGGACGGGACGGAGTGGGGTCCGTGTGCAGCCCGAAGTTCTGGGCTAGGAGCCTTTCCTCTTAGCTAGTGCTTATCTTTATCCTGGGCACCGAGACCAGGAGGTATTAAGAGGCTGTGACCCACTCCTGGGACCCCATGCCTCATACCAGTCCTCTTGTTTGTCCCCTAGGGTGATGCTGGTGCCCCTGGAGCCCCAGGTAGCCAGGGCGCTCCTGGCCTTCAGGGAATGCCTGGTGAACGAGGTGCAGCTGGTCTTCCTGGTCCTAAGGGTGACAGAGTAAGTTAAGCCCCCTCCCCTGAGCCGTGTGGGGCTCCCATCTCTGTCTCCCTCTGCTTGGGACACTCCAGCCTCTCTCTCTACCCTCCTTGGGCTCTTTCCCTCATCTCCTTAATCCTCTCTTCTTCCCCTCTGGCCTTGTTGCTGATAAACCCTCTACCAGCCTATCCAGGCTCTTCCCACCCCATGAATCACCATGGTAACGGGAGTAAGGGTGACCTGATGGATGGCATTATTCATCCTTCTACACAAGGCATGGGCCTCTTGCCCTAAGTTCCACCACAGCCCCCAAGCAGGCACCTTTTGCTCTGAAAGAGCTTGAGTCCCAAGCACAGCCCGGGGTAGGGCAGAGCTGGGGAGGGGTCCTAGACACCAGGAGGACACTCCAGGTCACCTCCCTGTCCGCCTCCACTGCAAGTCTCAGGCTTTCCTCTATCTTTAGGGTGATGCTGGTCCCAAAGGTGCTGACGGTTCTCCCGGCAAAGATGGTGTCCGTGGTCTGACTGGCCCCATTGGTCCTCCTGGCCCCGCTGGTGCCCCTGGTGACAAGGTGAGGAGGCCCCCACTGTCCCCCCTAACACACAGGTTCCCCAGCAAGCCTGGGCACCGCTCCCAGGAAGAGGCAGGTCCTGCCATTCTGAGCTGGTGACCTGAACGTGGGAAGACCAGAAGACAGGGGAGGCTCTCCTGGGGTCGTCTGTTGGGGTACTTCCTTCCCTGACCTGAGCCTCTTGTCCCTCCCTCTCAGGGTGAAGCAGGTCCTAGTGGCCCTGCTGGTCCCACTGGAGCTCGTGGCGCCCCCGTAAGTACAGAAGACCCACACTCTGCCCCAGGCTTTGTACTTCCTGCCTCCTCCTCCTCCTTCCCTCTCACCTGCTCTGGGCCCTGGGGAATGCTCCTCGGGCTGTCTTCCCCTCCAGCTCTGCCCCACCCCAGCCCAGGACCCCATTCCAATCTGCCTCCTTTTCTTCTAGGGAGACCGCGGTGAGCCTGGTCCCCCTGGCCCTGCTGGCTTCGCTGGCCCCCCTGTGAGTACCAAGACCCCCACCATTTTCCGTCCCCCCACTGGGACACGGGACCTTGGGAGACTGCATAAGGACAGAGGCGTGGGCCAGAGTCAGGGAAGGAGGGCGGGGAGGGATTCTTGTCCCCTTCTTCCTGGAGTGGCTGCCCTTCCCCAGCCCCATGGAGGCCCCTGATGGGCCAGCGCTGCCGCTGCCATACACCCCTCCTCCACTCACCGCCCTCCCTCCTTCCCCAGGGTGCTGATGGCCAACCTGGTGCTAAAGGCGAACCCGGTGATGCTGGTGCTAAAGGCGACGCCGGTCCCCCAGGCCCGGCTGGCCCCACTGGCCCCCCTGGCCCCATTGTGAGTATCTCACCCTCTTGGCCCTGAGCCGCAGGTGGACCTGGGGCTGGGACCGGCCCGGTCTTAATGGCTCTGTGCTGTCCTCCAGGGTAACGTTGGTGCTCCTGGACCCAAAGGTGCTCGCGGCAGTGCTGGTCCCCCTGTGAGTACCTCACTTTGCTTCTCTGCTGGGGCTCCTGCCGAACTGTGTGCGAGGGGAGGGGCGGCCAGGCCAGCCTGGGGCAGGGGTGGGGGTGTTCTTCCTCTGACCTCTCTGTCCTCCTCTGCCAGGGTGCTACCGGTTTCCCTGGTGCTGCTGGCCGAGTCGGTCCCCCCGGCCCCTCTGTAAGTACTGTGGTGGAGACTTCAATGCTCTGCGGGTGGGGGGGGGCGGTGGTGAGGGGCACAGGGGAGGGGAGGGTGCTGGACCCCTCTGAGGTCTCCGCGGGGCTCCAGAAGCCACTGGAACCTGACAGCCCCTCTTCTCCCTGCCCAGGGAAATGCTGGACCCCCTGGCCCTCCCGGCCCCGCTGGCAAAGAAGGCGGCAAAGGTCCCCGTGGTGAGACTGGCCCCGCTGGACGTCCCGGTGAAGTTGGGCCCCCCGGTCCCCCCGGCCCTGCTGGAGAGAAAGGATCCCCTGGTGCCGACGGACCAGCTGTAAGTGCGCCCTCCCGAGGGGTCCCAAGCGGGGGCGTACTCCCCAGCCCTGGCAAGGCACTTCACCTTCGTCTCTCTGCACCCAGGGTGCTCCTGGCACTCCCGGACCTCAAGGCATCGCTGGACAGCGTGGTGTGGTCGGCCTGCCCGGTCAGCGAGGAGAGAGAGGCTTCCCCGGTCTCCCCGGCCCCTCTGTGAGTGCCCCCTCCCCTCAGGGCACCCCGAGAAGAACCATCCCTGGGGCTGCAGCCTTGGAGGCTGAGGGCCCTTCCTCTACCCTGTCTCTGGCCTGACTCTCTCTTCTCCTCCAGGGTGAACCTGGCAAACAAGGTCCTTCTGGAGCCAGTGGTGAACGTGGCCCCCCTGGACCCATGGGCCCCCCTGGATTGGCTGGACCCCCTGGCGAGTCTGGACGCGAGGTGAGCCATTGCCAGCCCGTGCCAGTGCCCTCCGCGAGGCCACTTTGGCCTTGGCCTGCGCCTCCCTTCCCCCGCTGATGCTCACACCTCCCCCTCTCTCTGCAGGGATCTCCTGGTGCTGAAGGCTCCCCTGGACGAGATGGTTCTCCTGGCCCCAAGGTAAGATGTCTGCGCACCAGGGCCACGGCCCCACCTGCCGCTCCCCCGCCCCAGCCTGTTAGCTGGGACTGACTCCCTGTCCCCTCCTCTGCCGCTCTCAGGGTGACCGTGGTGAGACCGGCCCTGCTGGACCCCCCGGTGCTCCCGGTGCTCCTGGTGCCCCCGGCCCCGTCGGCCCTGCTGGCAAGAACGGCGACCGCGGTGAGACTGTAAGTAGCTGGACTCCGGCCTGTCGTCTTGGGCCAGGGACTCTCGGGGCCAGCCTGCAGGCCTGCAGATGCACATCTGACTTCCCCGAGGCTGGGGGAGGACAGGGGGTCTTACAAAACGTCGGGGTCCCTGGCCGTCCTGAAAACCCGAGCCGTGGCTCAGCCTCGAGGCGCCCCTCTCCCAGATAGACCGTCGCCTCCCCTGGGGAAGGGGGTTTGGCCCCAGGAGCTTGCCCCATGTCACGCAAAGCTAAATTCCCCTGAAGGTTCATCTGGGGCTCAGGAAGGACGGACATGGTAGGAAAGGATGTGAAGAAGGACAGACGTGGCCGCGGGGTGGTTTCATCCCACAGCTCAGGCTGTAGTAGGATCTGATGTACTCTCTGCTCTCCCCAGGGTCCTGCTGGTCCTGCTGGTCCCATCGGCCCTGTTGGAGCTCGTGGTCCCACTGTAAGTGCCTGGCTCTGGCCCTCGTGTCCTGGGTACCTGGCCCAGATGTGGCATTATGTCCCACTCGGTGCTAATGAACCTTCCACCTGACAGCCTGTTCCCTCTTCTCTTCTAGGGACCCCAAGGTCCCCGTGGTGACAAGGGTGAGACAGGCGAACAGGGTGACAGAGGCATAAAGGGTCACCGTGGCTTCTCTGGTCTCCAGGGTCCTCCTGGTCCTCCCGTGAGTATACTTAGCACCCTGCAGCCCCCAGCTGTCATTGAGCTGTTATACAATGGGGGGGGTGTTGCCTCAGTTTCCCCTCTGGATAATCATTCTCATTCCTCCCTAGCAGGGACCGGGGTGTAAAGATTTATGGACATTGCCAAGGGGCTTCTGGGAGGGTGAGGGACACAAAGAGGGGGTAGAGGGGGTCTTAGCCTGTGGACACCTTGGGACTAGATGTCCAGAATAATGGGGCAGGGGGCAGGTTGCTGGCCACGTTTGATGCACATGGGGTCTTACTGCCTTTGCCTCTGTCCTTCAGGGCTCTCCTGGTGAACAAGGTCCTTCTGGAGCTTCTGGTCCTGCTGGTCCCCGAGTAAGTCGTGCCTCTATCTACCTTCCCTTGCTGGGGCCCAAGCTCAGGCTCACTTCGGGGTCCCCAGTCTGGGACACAGGTGTCCTTATCTCTCTGTAGAAGGGTCTGGGGGCAGAGGTTGGGAGGAGGGAAGAAGAATCCCAGAAGAAGAAGAATCTCCTGAGAGATCTGGGCAAGAATGAACGAGGAGGCTGTGGAGGCCGAGCCAGGCCGGGAGGGCAGTGGGCTTCTCTGCAGAGCTGGGCTGGTGGTCCTGTGCTTTTGAGCAGAATTCCTCCAACCATCTTCCCTTCGCAGGGTCCCCCTGGCTCTGCCGGCTCTCCTGGCAAAGACGGACTCAACGGTCTCCCAGGCCCCATCGGCCCCCCTGGTCCTCGCGGTCGCACTGGTGATGCCGGTCCTGTTGTACGTAGCCTCCCCCACCCCCTCAGCCCCCGTGGCCCTCAGCCCCAAGGGCGCTTGGACCCTGGTAATCCCGGCTCTCCTCCCTCTCTGTGCAGGGCCCTCCCGGCCCTCCTGGACCCCCTGGTCCCCCTGGTCCTCCCAGCGGCGGTTTCGACTTCAGCTTCCTGCCCCAGCCACCTCAAGAGAAGGCTCACGATGGCGGCCGCTACTATCGGGCTGATGACGCCAATGTGGTCCGTGACCGTGACCTCGAGGTGGACACCACCCTCAAGAGCCTGAGCCAGCAGATCGAGAACATCCGGAGCCCTGAAGGAAGCCGCAAGAACCCAGCCCGCACCTGCCGTGACCTCAAGATGTGCCACTCTGACTGGAAGAGCGGTGAGGGCCACCTCCTCCCGCTGTGACTGCGCGGAGCCCCAAGGGGCCCGGATGCCCACGGGTGCCCCACCGCCCGTACCTCCCCTGACTCCGTCTTGCTCCATCCCATCGCAGGAGAATACTGGATTGACCCCAACCAAGGATGCAACCTTGATGCCATCAAGGTCTTCTGCAACATGGAGACAGGTGAGACCTGCGTGTACCCCACTCAGCCCCAGGTGGCCCAGAAGAACTGGTACATCAGCAAGAACCCCAAGGAAAAGAGGCATGTCTGGTATGGCGAGAGCATGACCGACGGATTCCAGGTGCGTGCGCTGGTCCTGGAGCCGCTCTCCCAAGATGGGGCTGGCCCAGGGCTCAGAAGGGTCAGGAGGGGAGGTCCTGGGTGGACTAGACTCCTGATAAGGGGGATGGACACTGCTGGGCTGGGAGGCAGGAGTCCTGGGTCCTTGATCCTGGCTCAGACATGGGGTGCCCACGGTTGAGCAAGGGTTGCTACTTCTGGACGGGAGAAGGGTGCTCCGGGATGCTCTCAGAAGACTCCAGGGAAGGAGGGAGGCCGGGACTAGAGGCTCCAGCGTGGTCACTCACTTGCTTCTCCCCACTACCCCCTTTCCCCCCAGTTCGAGTATGGTGGCCAGGGCTCCGATCCTGCCGATGTGGCCATCCAGCTGACGTTCCTGCGCCTGATGTCCACCGAGGCTTCCCAGAACATCACCTACCACTGCAAGAACAGCGTGGCCTACATGGACCAGCAGACCGGCAACCTCAAGAAGGCCCTGCTCCTCCAGGGCTCCAACGAGATCGAGATCAGGGCCGAGGGCAACAGCCGCTTCACCTACAGCGTCACCTACGACGGTTGCACGGTGAGTCCCGGGCCAGGCCCCTGTCTAGGCTCCAGCTTTCCTGGCAGGCCATACTGGCCCTCACTCCACCGCTCTCACCGGGTGACGCCCCTCTCCCGTTGTCTCCCCTTCACCCCAGAGTCACACCGGAGCCTGGGGCAAGACAGTGATCGAATACAAAACCACCAAGACCTCCCGCTTGCCCGTCATCGATGTGGCACCATTGGACGTTGGCGCCCCAGACCAGGAATTCGGCATGGATATTGGCCCTGTCTGCTTCCTGTAAACTCCCTCCCACCCAACCTGGCTCCCTCCCACCCAACCCACTCACCCCTGACCCTGGAAACAGACAAACAACCCAAACTGAACCCCCCAAAAAGCCAAAAAACGGGAGACAATTTCACATGGACTTTGGAAAATATTTTTTTCCTTTGCATTCATCTCTCAAACTTAGTTTTTATCTTTGACCAACTGAACATGACCAAAAACCAAAAGCGCATTCAACCTTAACCAAAAAAAAAAAAAGAATAAATAAATAACTTTTTAAAAAAAGGAAGCTTGGTCCACTTGCTTGAAGACCCATATGGGGGTAAGTCCTTTTCTGCCCATTGGGCTTATCATACCCCAACACTGCCCTTTCTGCTCCTTTCTCCATCCCTCCTTGGGGCCTCCCCTTCACTGCTCCCCAAGTCTAAGTCTCCCCGAAAGACACAGGAAACAATGCATTGTCTGCCCAGCAACCAAAGGCAATGCTAAAACACCCAAGTGACCCCCACACTCCCAGCCCACTCCCCTCACCCAGCACCCCCAAGCCCTGGGGGGAACTTGAGGTTCTCACACTGCCAAAGAAGCCTCACCATCTGGCCTCCCCGTGGCTCCTGCTACAATCCACTCTTCGTGTTCGAGGGGGCGTGCTGGGGGACCCACGGGCCCCTCGCTGCCTGCCGGGTTTGGAGGAAAGTCAGGAGGGGCCACGACAAAGCGGAAGGAAACATCGGATTCATTCAGGGACACGTGTCAATCCCCCGTGCGACAGGGCTGGGTGGGAGAGACTGCTCTGTTCCTTGTGTAATTGTGTTGCTGAAGGACTACCTCTTCTTGTCTCCGTGTGTCACCGGGACAACTGCATGGGGGCGGGAGTGAGGGCGGGGCGGAAGGGGCTCCCCATTTTATATCAAAGGTGCTACATCTCTGTGACGGGGTGGGGCGGGGAAAGTATTCACTGGTGCTAGGGAAGTCAAGGCCCCCCACCCCCAAGCCAGCAAATGTTCCTTTTTTGTTCAAAGTCTTTTTTTATTCTTTGGTTGATTTTTGTTTTTTTTTTTTTTTTTCCTTGCGGATGGGGACTTGTGAATTTTCTAAAGGTGCTACTTAACTTGGGGGGAGAGAGTGTCGCAGCTCAGCTCGGTGCTCCCTTCCCCCCCCTCTCCGCCCCCCTGGCCGCCTCTCTCTCCACCTCTCTCTCTCTGAAACCCGCTCCTCAGCGGCTCCCCATCCTCTCGGCCTCTCTGTCCTGTGTCCTCTCTCTGGGTTTCAGAGCACAACTTCCCAAAGCACAAAGCAGTTTTTCCCCCAAGGGGTGGGAGGAAGCAAGACTCTGTACCTATTTTGTATGTGTATAATAATTTGAGATGTTTTTAATTATTTTGATTGCTGGAATAAAGCATGTGGAAATGACCCAAACATACCTGCAGTGGCCTCCTGATTTCCTGCCTCGGAGTCTAGGGTTGGGGGCGGGAGCCTGGGGGGGGGGGGTTGTTTTGGCGGGGGGGGGGGGGTGCGGACCTCTCCTGTTTTTGTGCCTTCCCTCCTCCTCTTTATCTAGCACCCTCTGCAGTGGCTTCCCCACTTCCTCTTGCCTTTCTTATGCCTAAACGCTTTCCCCCTCCCTCATGTAGTCCTCCCAGACTGTCTCCCAAATGTCCTTCTTCCTTAGGATGCCACATGCACCCTAGCAACCCTTAGCAAGAGCGCACATGCCTCGCTTCAGCTCCTGGGCTGCCCAAACCTCAGGCATCAACACCATCAACTCCGCTCTCCGCGGGTGGGGGCACCCTGCAGGGCTGGGGGTGCAGAGGGTTGGGGAGCACTGTGGGAAGCACTGCGGGGGGTGGGGAGGGGGGCACTGGTGAGGACTCCCTGGGAACCCCTTCCTCAAGGCCTCTGCCCTGAGGAAACATGGACGGTTGTCTGGCTTCTCCTCCCTCCTCGCTCACTTTGAGCTCCCCCAAGGGAGCAACAAGCAGAACAGATCGAGAGAAGGGTCCCTGAGGACCCAGAGGAGAGGAAGGGCTCTGGCTCTCTGGACCCAGGGAAGGAGGGAGGGAGCCTCCCTAGGACCCTCAGAGAGCTGCAGTCAAGGCACAGATAGGGAGCTGTTCCGCTGGTGACAGGCCCTGACCCCCCTGGGAGCTACCAGGTCCCTCTTGGCCTCCTAAGTCCCCCTCACACCTGGGATCCAGGTGGCCTGGCAGGTCCTTTTGCCCAGCCTCCGCCTCCTGCCCATGCCTGATCCTTTTAAAAAAATTCTTGCTTCCTCTGCCTCCTTCTCCCTCCCTTCCCTTCTCCCTCTCCCTCTGCCTGCCCCTTCCCCCTGCTTGCCTAAGAACCTATGGCCCCTGGAGGGAAGGTAACTGGTCAGATCCCCAATCCCAGGGAAGAGGAACAGACGTGAGCAGTCACTGGGACACAGAGGTCTCCAGAATTCTGGAGCAGACCAGGTACCCAGAGACCTGGAGACAGGGAGAAGCTGAAGCATTGCCCCCCCCCCCCCCCCCCCACCCCACCCCCCCCCCCCCCCCCCCCCCGCGCCAACCCGCCCCCCCCCCCCCCGCCCCTTGCTTCCCTCAGGGCTCAGAGAGACGGAGTCTAAGAGGCCACTGGCAGCCATGCTAATGCCATTGCTGTCATTAGGTGGTCATGACGACTAATTGTGCCTTTTAATAATTCATTGTTAGCACTTCTACCACAATCTGGACAGTGTAGAAAGGGAATTAGTCTTGAGCAGTTAAGAAATTATGACATGTAAATGAGATTTTCTTCATAGGCAGCTTACCCGACCTGCGTGGTGATGGATGGGTGATGCCTTGGTCACCCCCGGCTACCCTGGCCTCCAGCATCCCCCCCCCCAATCCGGGGGCAACCAAGGCTCTACCTGGCTGTTACCCACCTGTCCCATCTCCCTGTCCCTCTCTTGCCACACCTATCACACCAGCCAGAAAGGGTGACCACAGCTCCCACGAATGTACCACACTTTCCACATCCAGACCTTTCTTTACACCTCTTCCTCTGCCTGAACTGACAGCCCTTATCTCTGCCAGCTCAGCGCCCCCCACTCCCGGCCATGTGTCCCCTCGTCCCCCCCGCCGTCTCCCCCCCGTTATGCTCTTCAGGCCCAGCGGGTCGGACTAAGGCCAGAGGCCAGGCTTAGAGACTGGGGAGATTAAAGTGAGAAGGGGGTGAGGTGGCAAGGGGGAGCTTTCTAGGCCGCTGTGGACAGGAGCGAGAGGAAGAGCAATGAAAACCAGCCCCCTTGGGGGAGAGGCAGCCGTGGAAGGCTCAAGGCCAGTGCCTTCTGCATCCTCAAAGCGCACTCTCTTCTGGGGTCTCACTAGCATGGCCGCTAGCCACACGCGACTCAGGGGCACTTGACACATGGGTGGTGCCCCCTGGAGAACTCAGCTTTATGTTGTATTTAACAGTGATTAATTTTAAAGCTGTAAGCGGCTAGTGGCCACCACGTCGGGCATCTCCCGACAAACAAGGGACTATGCCCCTCACTAGGTGGGCACAATCTACACACGGGGACGCGAGTGCATGCGTCTGAGGGCACACGAGGTAACGCCATGTGGCAGGGCTGTGCCGGGCAGCTCGGATCCTGTGGTTGCGAGGCAGAATGTGGTTTCAGTGTGTGTGCAGGACAGGAGGGGAGGGGGACAAAGGGGCCTTTGTGCCACACTCCCGACTCAAGCCCTCCTCTCCGCTGACATCACAGCTGCCCTAAATAGAGCTGCCGGGACCCGCTCCCCCAGGCCCCGGCTGCCCCCCGCGTCATGGCACGGGGCCGGCCGCCGCTCCTACCGCCGCTCCAAGGACTTTCCTTTGTCTTTTCTGTGAGGAGCCACATTCCTAAGGTTGATTTCTTGGTCAATTTCAGATGGAACATTCTAGAAAAGAAGGAGGTTTCATTTGGATTTTATATTTTTTGCTGCTCTCTCAGCATCCTGGGTCTCTTCTGTGGTATGAGCCCATCTCCTGGCAGGATTTTTTTCCTGACTGAAACGTGGCAGATTTCCCCTCCTCTCTGGGGTCATCTCTTTACCCCTCAGCTGCCCTGGTGCCTCCAAGACTTTCCTGGATGGACATGGGTGAGGTTGAGGAGGGGAGAGGTGGTTGGGGCAGCAGGGAGCCCGCCTAGCTGGAGTGTGGGAGCCTCAGGCAAGGGGGGCACGTAGGGTTGTGCGGTGAGCAGAAGAAGAAATGTGGGGCTGCTCTCAAAACCGGAACCCCCAGGGGAAGGTTGCTAGGGGCTGTGAGTGTGGGAGGCTGTGTGAGTGGGTGGGGGGGGTGCCGCCCACACGTCCCTGTGTCCCACTCTCTGCGGCCCGTCCACCCATAAACAAACGGGGCTGTGTTCAAAGGGCCCCACACACGTGCGGGTGTGCTGGGGTTGATTGGTGGGGAGGGGGTGGTCTGTGGGTGTGAGGACTGCTCCCCCACACACTTGGCAGAGAAGGAGATGGAAAGGGTCTAGCGGTAGGGACCTGTGTCTGCATAGGGGCGACAGAGGGCATAGGAAGGCCTGCAGGGGAACAGGGATGGCTGATCAGGGAAGAGTTGGGGAAAAACCAGGAGAGGCTGTGTGTGGGGAGAGACCACAGACCTAAAGTGTCAGGATCCGCAGAGGCCAAGTGCTCTTGGGAGCACTTGTCTCCGTCCCCTTCCTGGTATGCGCTCCAGAGGGTACCAAGTAGAGCTGAGAGATGTCCATGGGCCAGGGGGCAAGTCCTGGGAAGAAGGATGGCCCTGGTCTAGCAGGGTAATCAGACCCTTCTGCACATGGAGACTTCAAAGACTTCGCCCAGCATGTGCACGCGCAGAAAGGCCCGGAGGGAGGTGAGTTTCGTGCACGCCGATGCGGGAGACTGGGGTTTTCTCTGCCTAAGGCCATGGGAGGAAGAGGAAGATGGGGTGGGATGGGGACCAAAGCACATTGTAGAACAAGGAGGCCACATATTCACGTTCTAGGTGACTTCACTGCTGTGGGGCAGACCTCCGGCCCCCCCACAATTCCTTCAGGCTTTGGGAAACTCACGCCTGCACAGAGGTCTGGTGCGAACAGGTATTCTGGAGAAAGCGAGGAAAGGGGCTGGGTTCTGGGTTTGGGTTGATCTGGAGTGGAGATAAAGAGCCGTGAACCCAGCACTGCCCAGGAAAAACAGTATGTTCGCCACAGATGTAATTTTACATTTCAGCTATATTAAGGCAATAAAAAGAAACAAGCGAAGTTAATTTTAATAACATGTTTTATTTAACCTAGTATACCCCAAAATATCATTTCACTGGCCAGCTGACCGACACCGGGAAGCATGAGCATTTCAGCCTCCACCCCCAACCTAGAGGCAGAGCATGAACCCTTCACAGGGCACAGAATGTAAACGGAGCTTACTTAAGCTGGACCTCGGGGGGCGAGGGGACCCCACGGGCCTCTCTGTTTTGGCTGTGCTCACAGGAGGTTTCATGTGTAATAATGTCTCCTTTTTTGGGAGCGGCCAGAGGCCAGGCATTTGTCTGGGGCTCACAAATTCTCCCAACAGCCCTAGGTAATTACGATTAATGTCTTATGAGCAAACGAACTGTCAGAGCCACGATTCGAGTTCTGCTTGCTCTGAGCCCAAACCCCAACAAACCCACGCTGTAAATGCTGTGTGTGTGTGTGTGTGCAGAACTGGGGAGACACAGGCCCTGTGAGGACTAAGGCCAGCTGTAGGTAGGGCCCTGTGTTTCCCTCCGGCAGACATCCTTCTCCCAGACTGAGGGAATGTCTAGAGTCAGGCCACGGTGGGGCCCTGTTGAGGGTGACGGCAGAGGCCTCATGCACTGGGTCCCAGAGCAGTGTTGGCCGTGGGACTGGAGGAGCTGAGGGTGAAAGCAGGGCATGGGGCCGCATCTCAGGGTGGTGGGGGCTGGGGCGCCACGGTGGCTGGTCTTCCATGACTGTGGAGGGTTGGGCGTGACTGCGGGGGGACCTTGCCCCTCGGGGAGGACAGAGGTGCTGAGTACAGCTGTGCCTTTCTCGCGTGCTGCCAGGGGCCCCTTGGGTGCACACGCGTGTGTGCCCAGGCACGGCTCGGCATCCTCCGCAGTCACGCCATCCTTCCAGCTACTTGTCTGGGCCACTTCCTCCCAGGCCGGCGGCCAGGCTCCCGTGTGCTCCTCGGAGCCAAGATCTCAAGGCAAAGCTGGGCAGCGGAGGGAAGCGAGGGTCCGGGAAGACTCCCAGGCCTGGCCGGGGCAGGAGCAGGAGCGCGGAGACCAGGAGAGGGCAGCCCTTTCCTGGAGGGGGCAGGGATGGAGAAGGGGCACCCCGGAGAGCAGGCTGGTGGCTCAGAGCCTCCAGCACAGGCCAACTCCGTGCAACTCCAGGTCTCCAGGTTTCAGCCAGATGAGGGGCCTCG